GGAGCCTCCCGGCTGGATGGAGGGAAGGGGCTCCCGCCTGGACCAGGCTGGTGTCGGGGAGGGGGCATGGGGAGCGGGTACCAGCCACGGGGCCTGTTCTGCAGCGCCGCTGCCTGTCTGAGAAAAGCAGGGGATAGGGAACACGTGTGCAAAAAATAGGGAAAAAAAATTAAAAAAGGTTAAAAAGTAGGAAAATGAGCGAGACAAACTGAGAAGGGAAGAATGAGACCTGACCTTCACTGCCATCCTCCTGGCTCCCCTGAAGCCTCCACATAGCTGCATTTTATGAGCCCCACTGGAATAGCCACTCTCCTCTAACCCTTCCTCCAACAGCCCCTGCATCACTCATCTCCTGTTGCTTTTGCTGACTTATTTTCCCTTTGCTGTTTCTGTAACTATTCCTCTGGATCTAAGGAGGCACTGGATGAGCTTCAAGGCACAATGTCAGTCATGAAGCTAAGGAGAAATCTAGTAAATGACCCCACTCCCCTCCTCATCTAGCAATGAAATCTTGTAGGGGAAAGCTGTGTTCCCTAAGGCTCATCCTTAGCTTGGTAACCTTCATTTGTTCTCAACTAAATGCAGACTAGAAATAAAATCCCATAATGCTTTAGAGAGAGTTACTAAAGGAAATCCTCACTAAGTCCTTGCTGCCACTGGAGACTCAAAAGAGTTATGTGACATAACTGATGCCACCACTTCCTACCTGATAGTGGCTGAGCATCAGGTGTGCCAGTGCTCAAGAGAAAAACGACTGCTCCTTCTTATTTCTGGTCCTCCCAAGGCTCCTGGAGGATGCACCATTGGTGGACTGTACCAGAGGAGGGATAGAGGGGATGGGGAAAGCTAGGAAATTCCCTGGTACCAGGGCAGCCTTCTGGAGCCAAACACATTGCTCTGTTTCACTGGAGCGAGTCACCAAACTTTTGCACTTTCAGAGACCAGCTAAAATTGAGTGCATTGGAAATGCTGGAGAGGTCATTAAACAACCAAAAGAATGTGACAGAAGTTATAACCACAGCTCGGGTTGAGTAATCCTCTAAGATTCTTGGCTTTTACTGGAAGTCCACTTAGCAGTATGTTTGGGTTACAATTCTCCACACACCTTGGTTTGGTTTTTGTTTTTTTTCTATTTCTGTGTTGTCATTCAAGCCTCTGTTACTGCTTAACTGGATAACTAAAACATCCTGAAGACTTTGTGAGAACACATTTATTAGGAAATTTTCATTGATGCCAAATGTTTTGGGCTACCAATATGCTGATGTACCACCATCTCCCACAGAGCACAGGATTCACATCCAAATCTAGTCAAAGTTTCTGCTGATTGCTTTTGAACTTTAAAACTTTTCAGTCTATGTCCTCCCCCAGCTGCTCAGTGCGGGTAAACCTGAGGGGGCTAGCAGCACCCCTCCATTTGGAGAGCTTGGCACGGATGAGGTCGATGCTCCTGGTAATGGAATCGCTGGCTAAGAAGCAGTTCAGTATTTTACAGACCAGACAAGCTGCGGAGAAATAACTGGAGGTATCCTGCTGCTCTTGCTCGCGGTGGACACCGGAGGGAGCCGCAGCATAATGGCATGAGAACGCCCCTTTTTCCTCTTGCAGTCCAAGCACATTCTTCAAGAGATGTGGCTCTCCGTCTGCAGGCTTCCATCTGGCATGAAGGATCTCCTCTTAGCTCTCCTAATTGTCTACTGGATTCACAACTGTTTAACCGGTTTGCTTTTTGAAACAGAAAAGAATCTTGTTTTTTTCCCCCATCCTTGCCCCATGACATGGACAAAGGTAGCTGGACAGCCCTCACAGCTGGGAGATATGAAAAATTAACATCCTTCTGCACCTTCCCTTCTCATTCATTCCCGTTGCTGTCTTGTGATTTGTGGGCTGCTGTCCTCCATCACAGTGTATCCTGGGGACATTTACAGCTGATGACTCAAGGTGAAGCACTCTTCCTTCTAAAAATTCAGGTATCAAGGCCACAGAATGGTGTGAGGAACTGTGCTGCAGTAAATGGGATGGGTGACTCATAAAGGAAACACATATCCCCTAAGTGCTGACTCCAGTGCCTGTAGGTGTTTACCTAAGATCAGAAGCAGTGACAATGATTCAGCAAAAAGTTATCTTCCTTCCCAGTTTGTACTGATCCCATTATGTTACCAGGGATGCTATAGTGATGGTAGCATGGATAAGACAAAATTGGCCTTCCTGGAAATTAAAATCCCCTGATCCATTTCACCCCAGAGACTTCTGTGTCTCAGCAGACAGGTAAGTGATCCTAGGGCATACTATTTGTATAGGTCTTGGAGCAGCATTTAAATTCCTACTGACTTCTTTCCCTTTCCCTCTTTTCTTGGTCTTCTCCTATCCTCACGGTAACTGGGTTACACCTGACTGATAAGAAATTAATGAACTGCTGTAAGATATGTGAATGTATCGTGTCAGTAATGCAGGACTACTAGTCATGGGAACTGGGGCTGAAATGAATTTTCTTGGGTCCCACATTGCTGATGGGCTCCACTAATACCTGAGGTCTGACATCATCCTGCAGTTGTTCTACTGGTTTTGCTGAGGTCATCAGAGGGAAGGGACACGAGTTCAAGGCCTGATCCACCTATCCCCAATTTTCAGAGATTCACATCTGACTTTGTATCCAACCCACTGCAGAAGTGCAAACACTGCAAGGTACAGCAGCCTGGACACAATTTGTCTCTTTTTGACTCATAGTCGTGCTTTCTGTTGTCCTGTCTATAAAAATAAGGAATTCTTCACCCCTCTATTTCCAAATCAACAAGACAGTGCTTAGAGGGCATGCGGTCTTGCAGTCACAAAATACACTAAGATAGTCCATGAAACTGATTAATAGCCACTCAGCTCCTTCAAATCAGTTCAGCACTGTGAAGAACTGACCACAAGAAGAGGAAATCAGTGAGCTCTTTGCTGTTTGGTCGGTGACTTGGCCACATGCTTCAGGCCTTTCATGGACAAGGCGGTTATGGTGAATTGCCAGGATTTTCCTTCTTCATTTGCTGTGCTTTGGGGTTTCCTTTGCTACTCTTTCTGTAGTTCTTGCTATCATAAACTCAGTTCCTTTGTGATCCTTTGTACTGTCTCAGGGCCAATTCCTCCTGGCTGTTTCACCTGTTCCTCCACAATTCCCTTTCCTCAAGCAGCTGAGCTCAACTATGGCTTCTCTCATGAAACTTTTTCCAAGACTGCGCTCTCAGGGGGACAGGTAACATTTTAGGCTTAACAAAGATATAAATCCCTCACGTAAGCCCAGTTATGTGTGTCCATACAGACTCTGGAGTACATAGTAACACCATATTTAATTTAACTGTGGCAACTTTTCCATACAGATGAGGCTGAAGCCATGAGTAAAATGCCAGTAAAGACACGATGGATTCCCCCTCCCCTTCTCCCAACTCTTCTGGATATCATAAACCCTGGAGCAAAGACAGCAGCATTAATCCTCCTGTTTCAGCACAGTGATCAAGCACTGGAGCAGTAACCAGAGCTGGCTAAGGAAGTCACTGCTGGGAAGCAGACCGGTGTCTTACTCCTACACAGAGAGGTTCACTAGAACCAGTCCAGCAGAGATGAAGTCA